GCGCATGAAAAAAAAAAAGCTCGTAAAACGGTGAAAAATGAACGGATTGAATTGATTTTTTTATCATATCTCAGGAATGTCATTGGGCGGGTCTGATGAAAATTTCAAACCTTAAGTCGTAAAACGCTGGCGTCAGCGAGCGTTTTTCTCGAAAACGGTCGAAATTTTAAAACGCTCGCGGGCGAGCGGCAAAAATTTTCCGACCTTCGCCAATAATTTTCCCGGAGTCTGGTGACCGAGTACTTTCGTTGAAAAAAAATTTTTTGAAAATCCGAGCACGCTAAGTAATTTTCCCAGAAAAGCGTTTTTTCCCTTGTTCTATTATATAATAAGATGTAGACTATACAAATAATATCAATGAGTTATTTTTGAACATTTAGAATTATGAAATCTTTTTGTTAAGGTATTAACAGAAACGTTCAACAATTAACAAGACATTAAATAAAATTGCGATTGTGGCATGAATACCAAAAGCTTCTATAATATATATTATGACCATTAGAGATGGAACCTCATACTGTTTATTGTTGTTAAAAAAGAATTTTAATGTGGTGAAAAATCTTAATTTTTATAATCTATAGTATTATGAAGTTTGGGCAATACATAATATTTAATATAAAAAAATCACCATAATCTTAAATTTTCTTAAAAGAATGTTTAACAGAGATATCGTAATTATTTTGTAAACTACTATCATATGGCTCACTTATTTGGGCTACATCTAGATTACATTCAATATTCAGATCACATTCAAAATGTTTTTTTAATATTCATATCTATCCAATGTAAAATAATTAAGCGTCACGCAGTAGTTATGAAGGAATTTTATAATTTCATAATATTAAAACTTTAAATACTAGACGAATTATTTGTAGTTTAAGTTTTCATTTTAAACTTAATAATTTTATTGACTGTTCTAAATTGTTGTATCAATTCATTTCATATGTCCATTTAAAATTATTCTATGAGGACAGTTATTTTAGATGGAAAACATTAATTCTAAGTATTTATTTTTTTCTCCTTATGTAATATAATAACATAATGTCAATATAAAGGATATTGAAATAGATATGTTTAATTATAAAATTGAATTATTTAAAACAGGGTTCATAGCATTGAACCCTGGAAATGTTCTATACATTTGCTTATATATTAAATATTTTTATTTTTTATTGCTAAAATTATTTTATAGGTGAAATTTTATAAATCTATTTTTGTTCAATATTCCATAGTAATAATGAAGAAAGAAGATTATTTTGATTGAGTATCAAAAATGATTCAAGCGGGTCCTTATAAAGAATTAAAAAGAATCTAATAAGTAAAATGATAAGGGAGGTTACAAACGTTATTAATAGTTCAAAATTAATAAAAGAAAAGTTCAGGGTTTTTATTAAAACTTCAGTTATAAATAATAATGACTTTTCTGTCAAATTATCTGGTTATACTATTAAAAAAATTATATGTCAATATCTTTTTACGTAGTAGCTTTATTTCCAAGTATCCAGTTAAATATAACAGTTGGTTTTTTTAGTAATAAAAACCTTTTCTCTAATATTCTTCAAAATAATTTCCTTGGTAATATTTATGTAGTATTACTGTAATATTTTTGAACTAGGCTTCGCCTAGATGGGATTCCGCCCCAGACTCGGGACCCTACGAACCTTACGCGACTTCGGCGCGTAAGCCTCTTCGGGCCGTCATCATAAGTAGGTCGCTGATTCCGGTAGGAGTACTCGGCTACGCCGGGCACGATAAGTGTTTTGCAGAAAAAATATTACATCAGAATCAGTGTAATAAAAACACATTAAAAATGTTATTATTAAAATCAGGAAAATTCAAAAGGAGAATATAGTAAAATGTATTGGATATAAAGTTGACGTTTGTTAATGAGGTATTCCCCTTAGGCGTATTCAGAAATTATTATTGGAGGGTATTTAATATTTTTTTACTTTGTTAAACATGTTATAGAATTGTTTTTCTAAAAATCATAGTAATGATAGTAAAAAAAAGGACATTAGGTCCTTATATCTTAGAAGTGACCTAAAAAAATATTGATAGCACTGGTTTAAGGGAGGCCTATATTACCCTTAAACACACCACTCATATACACAAAAATTATTAATGTTCTAATTATAATAATTGTGTTTATATTATCTTTTAGTTTTATTCAGTTTTCATCAATTTCTTAAATTAAACACTATTTACAGATTTGTATCGAAGCGTTTCTTATGATAATGATTATAATCAATGTGTTTTTTTGATCCTTTTAAGATTTTGTAATATATTTCATCATATTTTAGAATAATTACAAAAAAATTGAGCACATTATACGTGGGACTATGTAAAAAATTTAATTTTGATAAAAATATTGGTAAATGCGATTTAACGTTGGACAGCATAGTAATCATAGATGAATCCCAATTTAAACGATAAACTCATAGACTCATACATCAAATATGAGATAATTAATAAAGATTATTAATAATGTACTGTTCTGATAATGAAAGTACAAACTTATAACCGTCTTGGAATTTATACAGAGTGATTTTTTTATTATAACCCACTCAATTACTTACAGAATAATAATAAATTAAACCTTTTTTTTTCGATTATCTTTAGTTACACATTATTCTTGAATTATTAACTATGTATCACTTTATAAGTTCATCCCTTATGCCTTGCAAGGATGTCAACTTTGTTTTTTTAAATGGGAACACTTATTTTGAATCTAATAAAATGTTTGAGTTTTTAATTTAATAGTAAATGGCATATGAATTTTTAATATAACTTTATTTGTTTATTAGATATAAACATTTAAAGTTTAAAATTTTTTAGTTAATATACAGGTATAATACACAAAGAATTACAAATATAGGTAGCTAATTGGTTTTTTATGACATTGCTGTCACAGTGACGGATTGTTTATTATCAATTGTGACTATCAATCGATATACTTTTTGTATTGTCAGTTAGTGTATTTATAAACTCACAACAATGTACCTTACTACCATTGATAATAACAATGCAGTGTATCTGTTAATATCAAAGTCTAAGAACACCAATTAGCTACTTGTATTTGTAATCAATTGTGAATTATATATGTATATTAACTCAAAAATTTTAAACTTTAAATGTTTATATCTAATAAACAAATAAAGTTATATTAAAAATCCTAGTACATATATGTTATATTAAAAATTAAACACTTATATTTAATTTACAATTAAATTGTAATATAATCAACAAAGTAAATTAATTAAACTTACTGATTTTTTTTGTTAAGTTTTTTTTAATTAACTAAATTTTAATTGATTAAATTTTGTGAAAATTTTTTTTTATATATATTTGAGACGACCTTGCGGTCTTAATCAAAATTTTTTACAAACGTTTACATCTAAAATTACATAAAATGTATAGTTAAGATATTATACACAATGAAGGAGAGAAACTTCCAGTTAAGAGTCTCCAAACTTAAGTAAATTTACATTAAATAATATATGTTTACAATAAGTCGTATGGTT